AAAAATCGTTGTGACTCACATAGTAGATACGTACAGTAGAGCGCTTCGAAAAAATAGATTTTTCATATGTTTTACTAATTGATCGGCAAAAATTACGTAGACTTTTGTCCAGTGAGTGTATATTATGCAAGTTTCTATTTAATGGTTACACTTTTGAGAAGGGCACGTCTAATTAGATGAATATACCTTCAAGTCCACCAAGATTAGCAAATACAGTAATATGGCTCTCTGTCTTCGCCGGAATTGGTATCTAGGGTTTCACAGTAATATGCTCTCTGTCTTCGCCGGAATTGGTATCTGGTATAACAAAGGATTTCACAGTAAGAAGCTCTCTGTCTTCGCCGGTATTGGTATCTCGTATAACAAAGGATTTCCCAGTAATATGGCTCTCTGTCTTCGCCGGAATTGGTATCTGGTATAACAAAGGATTTCACAGTAATATGCTCTCTGTCTTCGCCGGTATTAGTATCTCGTATAACAAAGGATTTCCCAGTAATATGGCTCTCTGTCTTCGCCGGAATTGGTATGTCGTATAACAAAGGATTTCACAGTATATGGCTCTCTGTCTTCGCCGGAATTGGTATCTCGTATAACAAAGGATCTCACAGGGCTTTCTGTCTTCGCCGGAATTGGTATCTATAACAAAGGATTTCACAGTAATATGCTCTCTGTCTTCGCCGGAATTGGTATCTCGTATAACAAAGGATTTCCCAGTAATATGGCTCTCTGTCTTCGCCGGAATTGGTATCTCGTATAACAAAGGATTTCACAGTACAGCAGTATATCGATATGGTTCTCTGTCTTCGCCGGAATTGGTATCTGGTATAACAAAGGATTTCACATGAAAAAAAGGGCTAATTCCGGAATATACACCACGGTATAAGCAGTGTTGACTGTAACTGGTTATATTTTAAACTCGGCTCATTCTGATTCGTCAGTCTACCAAAGTTGCACAACACATACGCGGTAAACAATGGTGAGAGATTTATAAATAGGCAACGACCTTGCGCAGCGCATAGTATACTAATACGCGATAACTTTAGACTACCATGGAGACAGCCGTTGCAGGACCCGCAATAAACAAGACGGAACTAGTTCTCCGTCCAAACTTTGGAAAGGTGGGACGTCCTGTGAACGTGCGTGTAAACTACTTCGAGGTAGTCAGTCTGCCCGGTAAGAGACCGTCTGCAGGACGCAAGTAAAAAGTTTTTGAAAGCTATCAACTAACGGTTGACACTCTTCTTCGTTCAGACGGCACCATATATCAATATGACATCGACATATCACCCGATGTTCCACCAATTTTAAATAAACGCATTTTTCAAGCGTTTGCAGCAGAAAAATTGGGTGGGACGAAAGCTGTTTACGATGGTAAGCGCGATAATAAGAGTCGAGTATGCAGTATCTTCAGTTTTATCTAATGAGAATTGGTTTACTTTAGGCCGAAAAAATGTCTATACCCTTGAACAATTTCCTTTTTCTGATACGTTAACGGATACGGTAAGCGATTAAAATATACTCTGGTTATCTAGCGTTGCATCTTGATGCTCAACAACAATTGTCTGTTTAGATAACCCTCCCCCCGAATAATGAGTCAAGAGGGTCGAGCAGGCAGCCGCCGTCGAAATTCACCGTTAAGATGAAAAAGGTGGCCTCGAAGAATCTCGAAGAGGCTCTGCGTTACGTCAAGGGCGAGAGCGCCTGTTCGAATAATATATTAACGGGTATGATTCTATTATAGTCTGAAATTGATTGTCAACTCCATCCATCATCCATCATCGCATCATCCATCCATCCATTATTCATCCATCCATCATCCATCATCGCATCATCCATCCCTCCATTCATTCATTCATTCATCCATTCATTCATTCATCCATCCATCCATCCATTCATCCATCCATCCATCCATCCATCCATCCATCCATCCATCCATCCATCCATCCATCCATTCATCCATCCATTCATCCATTCATCCATTCATCCATTCATCCATTCATTCATCCATTCATCCATCAATACTTCATCCCTATCAATCTATTAATTTATCTATTGTCTATCTATTTCTTTACCTATCTATAATAGCGATAAGCGCCTTAAACATATTAATCAACTACGTTCCGGGAAATAAGTTTAAGGCCGTTGGACGCCGAGCATTCTATACAAAGGAAGGAAGCGTATCTTTGTCAGGCGGTGTAGAAGTCTGGCCAGGATACTGGCAATCACTTCGTCCCGGTCAAGGTGTGTCAGATTATTGAACATTAACGATAGATATAGAACTGCAATCATTGAATGCTTAATTACTTAATGGTTCTTTTGTTCAACTGATAGGACGCTACTTTATAAACTTTGACATATCGGCAACAGCATTTTACGAACCAGGTTTGATAGGATTCTTAATTGATTTGATTACTTTTGTAGAACATTCAACGCATGTGATTCTTTTTGAATAGACCGATTAAACCGTTTTTATCTTTATACTCATTTTTCAGGCAATGCTGCCGAACTTTTAGTCAAACTCTTTAAACGATCCGGAATAGAAGACTTCCGGCGCGGTTTAAACCGAAAAGACATCTTAATCGCCCAACGCTTTTTCAAGAATTTGAAATTTCGCGTCAATCATCGAGGGGCGGACTTTCAACGTCGTTACAAAGTAAAGACGGTCACCGCAACGTCGGCTAGTCAGACGGAATTCATGAAAGGCAAGAATTTTAATTATCTTGTGATCAACATCTATCTTGTGATCAACATCTGCAAGGTTTCCACGATTCTAATTCTAGATTTATTATTATTGACAGAGGATCAAAAGAGCAATGTAGCTTCATACTTTGCAGAGCGCTATAGAAGACTTCTATATCCATTCTTACCTTGCCTAGTCACTCCAAATGGATCAAACTTTCCTCTTGAAGTTTGTAAAATTGAGGAGGTTTGTATTCAAGCATAAAAAGTGAAATGCTAGCAATAGGATCTGTTATTTACAAGACATTTGTTTCAGGGTCAGAAGTACCTTCGGAAATTAAATGACGATCAAACACGCGAAATGATACGATTTACATGTCAACGTATGTATTTATCATGGCTTTAGTACAGGTGTTCAGTAGCTGACGTTTCTTTATGAATTAGCACCTTCTGTTCGCGCCGAAAGGATCCAAAAAGGTGTCGACGTTATTTTTGATGAAAACGAGTACTGTAAACGATGGGACGTTAAGTTGTCCCATAAAATGATTCAGGCGGAAGCAAGAGTGCTTCCTCCACCTAAAATTACCTATCATCCGGTAAGTAAGGTTTTTGGATATTACTCATAAGATCGCATATGTTGACATTCTTACTGCAATTTTAGTCTGGACGGGAGGCAGTATTCGTTCCCAAGGGTGGACAATGGCAGTTAGGGCCACAGAAAAAGGTATGTTGTATTGGATGCGAACTTTATTAATTTTTGCGTTAGCAGTGTTTAATATATATGTGATCATGCCAGATGTTAAAAGGCGAGACTCTCGAGTCTTGGTCTATACTTGTTTTCGGAAGCGAGCAACAGGTGCCGAGAAGAATTATCCAGGATTCCTTACGTGCACTTTGTGACACGATGACCGAAAATGGTGAGAATTGTTAACCATTGGATGATAGACCCGCAAATATATTGGTCTGACTTTTTAAAATGTTCTCGACTTGATTGTAGGCATCAACATTAGAAATCGAGAGCCGGCTATTTTCTACGCTAATCCCCAAGGTGATATAGCCAATGCCTTACAAAGAGCTTATCAAGAAGCTGGTAAGCAGAGTGGAAAAAACCCACAACTACTTATGTGCGTTCTTCAAGGTCGTTCGGTCCTCTATGAAGAAATTAAGCGTATAGGTGATACTATTATCGGTATTCCGACGCAGGCAAGTATTAACATTGGAAAGTATTCGAGATGTGACGTCTTGACAACCTAGTATTTATATATTTTAATCTATTCATCTTAGTGTGTTATGAAATTTACGCTTGAGCGTAAGATGAACAAGCAAACGGCTGGTATGCTCGGACTGAAAATCAATGTCAAACTCAATGGAAGTAATATGGCATTGCACAGCGGGTCATTGCCATTTATAGAAGAAAAGCCGGTAAATATCCATCGTCAGTATTACTCGTCAAAACGTAGATAATTAAAAATATTTTTTTTTACGTTTAAAGACAATTGTCTTCGGCGCCGATGTATCGCATCCCGGACCTGGTAAGTATTAATAATTACTCCTTTCTTCGTATCTTCAATAATGTAACAATTTTCTTCATGTAAAGGATCCGACATGCCCAGCATCGCAGCCATAGTTGCCTCTTACGACCAGAACGTGACCAAATACGCAACATCGATAAGATTCCAGAAGTCACGGGTCGAAATTATAGAGTCCATCGAAGAGATGGTAATTGAACTTTTGAGGATTTTCCACCGCACTACGAAGCGGAAGCCTCAGCGGATTTTGTTCTATAGAGATGGGGTCGGGGAAGGGCAATACGAAGACATAGTGCATTATGAAGTGGAAGGCATTCGGAATGCCTGCAGAAAGTTGGAAGCGACATATAATCCAACTATAACCTTTATTGTTGTTAGAAAAAGACATCACACACGGTAAATTGAATTTTATCGCATAAGTTTCTTCTAATTAACTATGATCAATAGACAAACCCGCTCATCTTTTAAAATAGAATGTTTCCCGTTAATCGAAGCGATGTCGACAACAAGTCGAACAACTGTCAAGCCGGTAAATAATCTGATGATATTCATATTTGTTTCACAATATCAATACCACAACTAAACGCTTTGTTCTAATGCAGGGACGGTGTTGGAAAGGCCTGTCGGCCATCCGTTCGAGTTTGATTTCTGTAAGTAAAAAATTGTATAGAAACTGTATGCGTATTAGTGGCCCATATTAACTTCAGGACATGTAGTTCTATTGTCTCATCCTGGATTGCAAGGAACATCGCGTCCGACTCATTATCATGTGTTAGTCGATGGTATGTTATGGTCTTTATTATTCAATACGTTTTTACTATACCCTGACATGGATTCCCACTTACCTTAATGTTAATTCAGATAACAAGTTTGACGCCGACAGATTGCAAACGCTCACATATAACCTGTGCTATTTGTTTGCGAGATGCCCGCGAGCAGTATCTATGGTCTCTCCTGCGTATTATGCACACTTGGCCGCATTCCGCGCAAGGTAAGAGAATGCGAGCAGTCAGTCAGTTGATAATGGCAATAACTAACGAAATATTCTCGTTTCATAGATTCTGGCGGAAGAACTCTATCCTGTCTGATTCGGCGAGCGTCAGCACAGACACCGGTTTGGGAATTGAGGATTATAAACAGATGCATCCAAAGATGAAGAGTCTAATGTTCTTTATGTGATTTGTTTCTACTCGTATACTTCTATAAAGGAAGATAGCTTAGTGTTAGATTGACTAATCAATCTTGCGTATTTTGGGGATGCTTATTCGCGGCTTAAACAACAAACTTGAGGCAATTACCAAAAGCAGTAATGTTATCTTGAATGATATTGAGACACTGCTTCACTCACGAAGATTTTGTCATAGGTGGTTTTGGAAAGTGTAGATTTAATAAAGGTTATCAGGTTATACAGAATATGGCGGCGTGCTACTATTTTGCAAAAAACGGCTTTTTGAACAATAACAAAACCAGACAAAGTGAACATCAGATCATACCGATATTGTAGCACTTAGCGAGCTTTATACGCTTTATTGTAACTTTATGCAATAATCAACATGCGAAAGAATTTTTAAACTCTTATAAACGCTAAATCGATACAGGAGCTGTCATCGCTGTATAGCGGTTTATCACTGTTTTCCATTGGGCTGTAGGGAATTGCAATAGGGGAACGCCAAATAACTTCGCCTATAGGAGATCCCGGGTATTCTTTAACCGTTTGGTGGTGGCTTGCTGCGCCTGGACTGCCATGAATGTAAACGATCTTAAACTCTGGGCAGGGAGAACCATTTTTCGAATCTTGACTTGAATTGGTTTGCCGGGCTTATCTTCTTCTTATTTTTCGACCCGGGAGTGTAAGTGGATGTGACGATTTCAGGCTTATGGGTACCACCAAACGCGGCATCCAGGTAGTATTCTATTTGATTCTTATTACTGGAATCTCGGTCGAAAGCATTCTCGATTTTTGCCGTGTTTACGTCATGTGTCTTGAAGTAGAAGGAATTTAATGGATTAGTGAAAGCGGGAATAAGTAAAAAAAAATTGTAGCGGCCATGAATAAAATCAAACCGCGGATATCCGCGGTAGCAACGCAATAGCATTCCCGTCGAAGTATTCAGGTGGTTGCTGGAGCAAATCAAACCTTTCAATAGTCAAACGCATATCTAAGGGGTGTTTTCCATTTAGGTCTGTTATTTGAAGCACTATATTGGGAAGGCGTATAAGTTGCTGGAATAAGACATCTTCAAATTGCATAGGGTCAAACTTGTCACTAGCGAGGGCATAGCAATAAGCTACAAGTAGCGGACAGCGTTTGTACAAGTCCAAAAGTGCTTCTTTGGCAGCTGGACAGATCGGATTGTGCAGCACCGATCCTTTAGCCGTGTACCGATACACTATCCCAAGATCCAGAAACCGCCAATCGAATACTCGGTGACTCGCGTTTCGCCGGGTAGGAACATATCCGCAAGGGCCAGACGGGTGTCTTCCTTTGAGGTTCCAGAGAGAGAATCGTAATGAGTCTTCGCCTTATCAAAAAATTTATTTTGTCGGTCCTTTTCGAATTTTTTCAATCTCGCCTTGACCTCATCTAGGGTAAGAGAAGCGGTTCCAATTTTCTTGGTTAAATTTACGAGTTCACGCGACACACGATTGGTGATCCTCAATATTTCGTTCGCGATTGCAGGTAAATAATTACCGACATTTGGATGAAAATGGTTGACGACTGCAGCCAGCAACTGGTCGAAAATTGATGACGACAATGGACCAACATATTCGAGGTAGCATCGATCTACAAAGTAAGCATCAAATCTTGCATGAGCAGTGCCCGTCAGGATCAGCGTGTCCCCTTCATTGCCTCATCCCAAAAGGCAAGCATCTTTAGAGGTGGTAAAACTCTGAGCTGGTCGACCACTGGAGGATCAGTGTTGAACAGCGCGCCATGCTCGTCGACGATAAGGAATACTTTGCGCGTTTTTTGTTTGAGGATATCTGCAAAGATTGTTGAAGCACAGGCTTCTATAACAGATGCTTTATCACTTTGGCGTATTCCACTAATAAACGAAGCTCAGCAGAAGTCAGAATATCCTTATTGAGTGCTAAAAAGTATTCACAGATCGCCTGTTCAGATTTCCTATTTGTGCCGAGGTTCAAAAGGGATGCATCAGCTATGTAGAGCACAAGCTCGCCAAGCCTTGGCAGCGAGGAACCAGGCGAGATACGATTTTCCTACACCCATTGGGCCAGACAAGACCTTTTTGATTGAGGTGTCACTATCACTCGCAAGCGTATTCCAAATATCCATCATCTGCTCGGTAACAAAGAATTGGGAGCCCTGGTAACCATCTTTGAAGTGCTTCGGATCTTGACCAACATTCATCGTCGTAATCGTAATCTGAGTGCCTGCTTGCACATTCAACAGAGGGGAGAAAGCCAAGCGAGGATCAGGCTTGAACTTGTTGCTCATGAGCATCTTGATCATTTTGGGTGGCAGATCCACGGGTTGGCCATCGGCAGCAATGTATGATTGCCAGCCCTCGTCTAAACGACGTCTTTTCGTCGGAGATCCCCGCTCTGCATTCGTTGAGGAGAAACAGGGAAGGTCGGATGACAGATGAAATGAAATATAAATGATATTAGAGAATCGTGAGCGGCTAAGAAGCAAAATAGCAGTGTGAAGTTATGCTAAAACTACTTACCGGCCGGGTGTTCGATAAGGACGTGAATATGCCTATCAAGCACCATCTTCGTTAACAATCCGTCATCTGTGATATCGGGCAATTTGTCAACCCAGTAATCATCAATCTTATTAACAGACCGCAATTTTTCGCTTTTAAGTTGATTTTTGATAAGATATTGCCAATTTTGCCCTCTCGAGAAAAAGCATCAGCCGCTTGGAGAAGAGTAGTCATTTGTTCATCGTTATCAGGAGGAATACTGACTTTCCAGGGCCTAAGCCTGTTGGCCTCTGAAAACGTGGCGTGTTTCTCCACCGCGATAAATTTCTTGAGCTCTTCGATTGTCTTGTGCATAGCAATAGTGATTGGGAAAACATCATCTTCAGGATGGTCCCCGAGAACCAGGCAATTGAGAGTAATAGTTTCTCCCGACTCTTCCACCCCTTCCATCGGACTTATAATTAAGTTCCACTTAGTGTGATGCACAAATAGAAGGTGTATAAACATCGACTAAGATTTTCGAAGCTCATCGTGTTGTAAGGAACACTATGGAGATCGCTGGTGTAGAGACATGCTGAGAATACGTTGTGATGCGAGCACAGATAAATGCATAGATAGATCGATAGGTGGTAGAAAGAAATGGGAGGAGCGAACTGCATAAATGTGCAAATTGTCGACTAAATTTTCGTCGATCATTCGAATCGCGTCAAAACATACATTGACCGCTCATTTTCTTTCTCCTGTTGCACCCGCGAGAATTTTTGGTGAAATTTGTTGCTTTTCTTCGTTCTGTTGGCGGCATGGTACGAGATCTTGATGTGTCATAAGCATATGAATATATAATGAATAAATAAAAGACGAGAAGGAAGCAAAACTTGGCGCTAGCGGCAATACGAATATATAGGGATATCTGTGTGACTTACCGGTCGATCTTTGGCCCGCACACGTCTTCTCTGACGGCGGTGACTTTAAGTAGATGGCTGGTTTTATTGCAGAAGAGAGTGGATGGATGGTTTTTACTGAGAGACGCAGCGGAAGAGTGAAACCCTATTGTATTTGGTCACTCATCATTTTTTAAGAGTTTTTCTGCTGGGCCCCCAGTGGTCCCAAAAAAAGGTCAGATAATCGGAGTGCCTTTTTCAGCTCTCAACACAACTGCTGCATCATGTAGTTAAACACACAAAGGTCCCCTATATCCAAGATGCCTTCTACTCTCACATTTATTAACGTCACCCCGATTCAGTAGAAACATATTTACAACGTATCGTATTAATATACGACTATCCCTATTAATATAAAAATGTAATATAATAATATGAAATTAATTTACATGAAATTCACAATAGAACAGTGCGACCAGAACTAATAAAAGAATCTGTTTCCACTGCTGGACAAAATAATGCACTGACGTGACGTGCCCGTAGTAGTAATGGAAATTTCTAGCTTTGCGTTTGGAGTTACAGTAACATTGGCCTGACCCTATGCCACTTCTTGGCCCGCTGACAACTATCACCAGCAAAAGAAAAATCGCAAGAAAAAAAAAGTAATTAGGATATAAAGAGTTGATAATGTATTCAAGAAGTCATCGCTTGACCCATTATTGTTATTATGTGGTGAGCACCTCTATAACATTTTGTGTGAGGTAACTCGTCGTTTGGCAAAAATGCCTGCTATAAATGCCAAGTAACTTCTTAATTTTTTAGTCCTTAGTACAAGCGTTAAGGCGCTTTGCTCAAACACCCTCCATCTCGCAGACAAACTCATCGAAATTACCGACACAAATGTGCTCATGACATCGTCATAAAAAGGCAAGCCGCAAGCAATTACTAACTATAATGGGTGTAGTGCTTTACTGCGGAATTCGGAGCAAACACGAAATATCGGAGAAGCTTTACGCCCAAACTGCGTTAAAAAAAACGCAATTGTTCTCGCATAAAATTTTATGCATAGGAAATATCCTCCCCATAACAGCACTCTTATTTCTTTATTTTTCTTTTTTTCCTTGGCTCTAGAAGGAGTTTGTCCAACGTCCGTTTAAGAACTTTTCCCGGTCTTTCCTCTTGGTAAATAAATATTGTTTAGTAGCCTTAATGTCAGATATTTTAAAAATGTATGGCGCAATTTTCTCGCCTTGCTCTTGCTTTAAAAGAGAGCGTAAAGTACTATAATCTTTAGGCTCCATAGTAGATCTAATATAGATAAGTTTCATATATTTTAATTTTATATACGCGACTACTTCTATGTATAATACATAATAAATACACAATATTAACAAAATCAGACAAACTGTGCGTATATATATATATATATAATATATGGTAGACGACATAATTATAAATGAATACGAAAAAGCTCTCCAATTTTTAGAAGTAGACTGTGGTTGTGGTTGCTTGGCCAAGCTGCCCAAAAAGAAATTTGCTGAATTGCGCAAAGACTAACAAAATCAGAACAAGACATTTTTTTAATAACTCAACTCAAGTCCATGGACGGGAGTGATCAGTACTAGCAGAAGTCTCAAGAACAAGACTCGCGTTAACAATAGAACTGTTTACTGCTGAAATCGCAATACCCCTATTTGTCAAAAAGTCTATCTCAATAGGCTTGGTATTGGCCGCAATTACTTTGAAAATACCCGAAATTATCTGCTTAAGAATGGTCTTCTACCGCGGGTGTAAAAAGAATGCCACGGTGAAAAACTAAAATACTACTGATATAACGATTGCTACCGTCATGAAGAATTTTCTCGAAAATTATGCTGAAATACATGGATTACCAAGTTCCGGTAGAAAATTACTCAATCGCTTACGCCACTACCAGCTGAAACGAGTAACAATCGGTCTATCGTGATTATATTGCAGGTCTTGAAACAATAGCACGTTGAAATTGTTAAAATATGATGCGTTTCGCAAGTTATGGCATCAATTAACACACCTTATATTCAAATTATGAGTCCGGGAACAGACTTATGTGACACGTGTCAACATTTTCGGAATGGCTTACAGTATAATGCTCGTAAGGAAGAAGAAGCGAGAGACTTGCTAAAAAAGTATAAAGAACATTTAGTTAAGGCTAAATTAGAGAAAAACTATTACAACAAAAATACGAAATTAGCAGAACAACAGAGAAAATTAGTAAATGAGCATTTAAAAACAAGAGGTAAAGCTTATTGTAGCATTGACGCAACTGGGCATTACAGTTACGATTGAGCGCAAAACGTTCACATACCCCATTCCGATCAACAAGTAAGATTTATTATCTCAGTCCACACAAAGTACATTTGTTCTAAAAATAAATTAAGGTAATCGAACATTGTGTCTTACCGAATGCTTGCATTTTGTTAATTGTTAACAAATTAATGTATCTCTTTCCGCATCCCACAAATGCAAAAAAGTTACACAGTGCCTCCAAAACCCCACGATGTGATTGGCGCAAATAGTATAAAAAAAATTAGGTTTATTATCCTCTAACAATTCAGAAAATTTTGCTGATTAATAGGAACAGTACGAGGAGTCAGAAAAACAACAAAATCACCGCACCCCACGATTTCTTCGAAACCTCTGATTGGTTCTTTACATATAAGGATTTAATCTGTAGTAACGCCAGCCGCTCCAATCCTAATTTCATGACCAGAATGGAGGCATTAACAGCAGACTTACACTTAGTATCAAAGTCGTGACCAAACGTTGAAAACCAGCATATACTTATACGCGCCCCCAATAAAAAGTAATCAAATTACTAACATTGAACTACATAATTATTGAAAAACATTATAAATATCCACTTATTCTGAACAATTTGCTTTGCGCGCTATGAGCGTGACGCTAAAACCATACATAATTAAAGCTTTTTTTACGGCAATTTTTATTGATAATAATAGAGAAACTATCCATTATATCGAAACAATAAAATTTCAAATTATATTATTATGCAATACAAACGGTTACCGTTGCAGTATATATAGAGTATACAACTTCGAATTAAGATACTTATTTGTTTGTTACATTTCTACGATAAAATAATATAAACTGTAAGCTCGAGATCAACACATTCGTGAACAGAGGAAATACATTTGCGCGCGTGAATGGATAAACATTCAACAACGTAATGATGTCACTTTATTTCAGTTTGTCGTCGTCACAAAAAGTCAGAAAAGAAAGGTTTGTCTTATTATGTATTCGTCTTCATTCTGTAACGTTGTTTCCATAATTGTTCTATATTGTTATATAGAATATTTGTTAAAAGTCGGAAAAGAAAAGATAGTTTACTGTGTCTATTAGTAGTACAGTATCTTTACCTAAACGTCACTTATATACGCAATATTCGTCTTCACATTCTGTAACGTTATTTCCATAATTGTTCTATATTGCATTAAACATTTGTGAGAAGCCGGAAAAGAAAGTTTGTCTTACAGTACCAATTATGTAGCTATATGCAGATTGTATCTTTACCTGAACACACTTATATACGCAATCTTCATCTTCATTATAGATTATTTGACAGTCTTCTCGTTGATGATAATGCAACGCTTTTGTTATGATCCAATACGAAAGTTAAAACACGATCCAGTAGTCGACTATTAAACTTTTAACCTTCCTCGTTATTATGATTCACATATTGTGTCCCAAAAGCCATCAAAGCGTCTCGTCTAACAGTAAAACGTGACTTAACTCATAAACATATTGCTCATTACCCGTAAGCACTTACAATGTGAGCGAAAAGAGCAACGTTGCATGAGTATTTGTTGTTTAACGTTATTATCGACCGTAAGCCAACGCAAAAATATTCCAAGTGACGTCAGGTGTAAGTCTACTTTTAATGCCTCAATTCTGGTCATGAAATTAGGATTGGAGCTGCTGGCGTTACTCCAGATTAAATCCTTATATGTAAAGAACCAATCAAAGTTTCGAACTCATCATTGTTAGAGAATCTCAACCTTTTTCTTATATATTCGAATCATCTAGCTTCATGGTTCGTTTAATATAATATTTATTAACGACAATTTGGTTGTTTCAGTATTAAATTTACGGTAATGACTATATTTGCATTTGATTTTAATTAGCTGACTATAGACTCAGAATTCGATTTCTCAACGAAGAAGAAGTGTCTCTTGCATATATGCAGCAGCCTGTGAGTAGTTGTCGACTTTTCTTCTGCCCTCGTAGACAAGATATTCGGGCAACATTTTATGAGTCTGATACTCTTCCTCTGCACTTTTAATTTGTGTGAATTTATATGTGGATTAATTTTTACCGATTTTTTAATTAATATTCGAGTCGCGTAATCTAATATTTACCGTTTTTCGTAGCTTTACCATCTAATATGTTACAATTTTTGTGCACATGGTGCGCTAAATTCTGTGATTGCATTACTCGTTATGCCAATATTCTCATTAATTGCAAATGTAGGGGGTGGTCGGTGACTTTTGAGGCGAAGTGTATGCCTGAGCGCCA